TCTGTCCGACACTGAAAATCCGTTGTATTGTAAAATTCGTTATATCAAAATTCGTTGTAGAAAGAGTTGACTGTAGTAGAATAACTTAACCTCAGGGTATGTGAGAATGATATTTCTTGTAGAAGTTAATAAAGATTATTGATAACAAGCGCCTTTTTATAGCTTTGTACCAAAGAGAAATTCTACATTTATTAGAAAAAGAAAGAAAGTATCTGAAATCATTAACAGTATACAAAAATTTTCTGTTACTAATAATAAGTTATTCAATAAATATCAGCGATTATTTGAATAAGATCAATAAAAATCTTCTATAAAAATGAGAAATAATAGATTGTATTAAGGTAGAATCACCAAAATAAACAAAAAAATAAATAAAAAATTGATAATGATAATAACTATTTTTAGACGATCAAGTGTAATGTAAACTAATCACATGATTAGACAATTTATAAGAATACATAAACAATTAAAAAGTATAAAGCAAAAATTGTAACAGACAGGTGGGAGGAAGGGAAAATAAGTTATTTTTTTTGCAAACTTTTATGAAATTTAAAGTGAACTTTTACTCTTAATAAAAGTTTTTAAATTTATCATTTAATTATTATAATTAAAAAACACATTTAAAAAGAATAAAATTCTGCATGAAAAACTATAATTGTAATATTTAATTATTATATAAATTACTGTTTTATGTAATCTTAAAAATACAATAAAAATCAATAAAAAAAAATTTTTTTAATTTATTTAAAGAAAATTAATTATAATTAAATAAAATAATAACTTATAAATATTTTTATTTGATATTTTTTTTTTATAAAGTGTGATAATTTTGTGATATACATTTATATTAATATATTATTTAATAAATTACACAAATAAATATTCAAATAAAACAAAAATATTTGAGAATTAATATAATTATAAAAAGCTATTACTTAACAAACATTAAAACACTCAAGATAAAAATTTATATATAAGTAGTTTTATATATATAAAATATTTTTACTTAATGCGTAATAAGTAAGTGATTTACTTTAACTAAAGTGATCATATTATCCTATAAAGTTAAAAAAAAGGTTTACGCTATTAATAAAGTTACAAAAACGCATATTACAATACGAATATTAATTCAATTAAGATTAAATTTTATATACAAATAGTATTACATCTGCTAAATAATATTTATTTAGAAATAAAAAGCAATTAACTTTAACCAAAATGCTCAAATTTTCTTGTAAAGTCAAAAAAATGTAATTTATTTAGTAAAGTTACAAAAAAAATTATTTCTACACAAATATTAATTATATTAATATAAAAAAATTAGATATAAAATATTATTAAACCTATTAAATAACTTTTACTTAAAGATAAAAGGTAATTGACTTTGACCAAACTGCTCAAATTTCGTCATGAAATCTCTGTATTAATATTTATAAAAAAAGATATTAAATAAATATAAAAATTAGAATCTACAAATAAAAAAAGTATATTTAATAAATTCTTACAAGTTCAAGTATTTAAGTTTAAAATATAAGATTTTTTTTAAAATAAAATAAGTGTTTTTTTTTTGTAAAAAAAAAAAGAAAAAGAATATAATGGTTCAAAAAGGAAAATTAATACTAAAAAAAAGATTAGAAATTGATCATCAATTATATTAATTGTGTAATTATAATTGATTATCAAATTAAATAAATTAAATATTTAATAATACTATATAATTTCCATATACTTTAATTTTAAAAAAATATGTAAAAATCAATTTAGTATTAAATATATAGAATTGTGATACAGAATTACTAAAAATGTATTAATAATATATTATTTCCATATTATTTCCACATCCAAATTTCTTATGGGATATTATAATATTTTTTATATTTTAAAATGAATTTTTTTAATAAATGATTAAGTATAAAAAAGATTAATTAAAAGAAAAAAAATAATAAAATTTATTAAAAATAAACAGATTTCAATTATATTAAAATAATTAAAACAAAGTATATATTAATCAATTTTTTTTAAATTATTTTTTTATTATTTATTGCAAATTTTAATGTTATTTAAATTGTATAGAATTTTATATTATAAATAGATGATTGATTAAATTACATATTGTAGTTCATTAATAAAAAAACAAATAATTAAAATAGTTAAAAAAGTTAAAGTTTAAACTATTAAAAAAAGTTGATATAAAATCAAATATTTTATATAAATATGATAGAATAAGAACTTATAAAATAGTTAATATATTGAATTATATTTATTGTCTAAAACTCTATATTTGTAATAAATTTAATATATAAATTTTCATAGATAAGTTTATTAGTATTAATAATTGAGATAAAAAATATGTTTATAGTAAAAAGGCTTTACTCTATAAGATAAAAATTATTTTTCAGTGATAGAATCTTACTATAAAAAAACTTTTTATTATATGATAGATATACAAATAGTTTTAAATCCAATAATCAATTTAACTTAAAAGGTATTCAAGAATATTAGTAACAAAAATCACGGAAATTGGATTTGAAAACAACATTGAATAAATGGAATAGAAGAAAGTTGGAACTATCATAAATTAAAATTAGACGAACTTGAAAAGAAAAACTAACAAAGCATTCTGATATTCCGTTAAATTACTTAATTTAGATGTTCCATTATGAACAACATAAATTGATAGAATTGGACTTTTTTATCCGCAGCCATTAAACTTCACGTGATTAATTCATCAAAAGATCTAAATTGTAAACCATTTTTAGACAACGATTACAAATAATATTTACAATTGTAGAAAAAAAATTCGCACTCATAAAAAACTTTTATTGTTATTAATTTGGTTTAATTTGCTATATTTATTTTAATTAAATTTCTATATACGAAACAGTTACAAGTTATGAAACACGGAAATGATTATTAAATGATTGCTACTAAAACAGCGTGAGAAATTTTTGAAATTCCATTAACTTATAAATACCCATCGAAAATTTTGAGCAATTCTTCCTTCCCAATTCAATCATATATTTTTAAAGTGATGACTGATAGTAAATTAAGTGGTACTACTACAATTATTGGTGAGTTTTATTTTTAAATAGTATGATCATATGACTTAATAAGAATACTGCGGTTATGGGATAAAGATTCTTATACCTAAAATAAAAAATTTATACCCGAATGCTAGAATAATGATTTAATATTATTCAAGCCGTGATTGTGGTACAAGAAGAATAAACCATATATTAATAGCTAACTTATATATGCGTTTAAATCAGTACTTGGTGCTTCGGGAGATCTTGCGAAAAAGAAAACTTATCCAGCATTGTTTGGTCTTTATCGCAATGGATTCTTCCCGGAAGGCACTCGTATCATCGGTTATGCCAGAACGAAACTTGATCAATCAAAATTCCACGAACGTATTTCCGGATATATGAAAACTCCAACCGACGATATTAAAAATCAGCTCTCTGAATTTCTAAAGCAATGTACTTATGTCTTTGGTCAATATGATAAGGATGAAGATTATCAAAAGTTGAATAAAGCTGTTGAGGAAGTCGAACGATGTGATAAACATCAAGAAAAAAATCGTATTTTCTATATGGCATTGCCTCCTAGCGTGTTTATTCCTGTAGCAAAAGGCCTTAAGAAATATGTTTATTCTGCAAAAGGGATTAATCGCTTGATTGTTGAGAAACCTTTTGGTATGGATTTGGATAGTTCTCGTGAGTTAGGTAAAGCTTTAGCTCCTTTATGGAAAGAAGAGGAGGTAATTCTATTTTATTTATTTATTTATTTTTTACGCATGCTGGAATAACTAAATCTGACCCCATTCACGTAACAGACATATCGTATTGATCATTACCTTGGTAAAGAGATGGTTAAAAATCTCTTGATCATTCGTTTCGCTAATGTTGTTTTTGGGGCGATCTGGAATCGTCAAAGTATTGCCAACGTCCAAATTACTTTCAAAGAAAAGATTGGAACTGAAGGTCGAGGCGGTTACTTTGATGAATTCGGCATCATCCGCGATGTGATGCAAAACCGTGCGTAATTAAGTTAAAACTAACCCAGAGGTTCCGTGAAAATTTCGCATCTCACGTGATTTTTGACCAAATAAACTTTTTAAAGTTTATTTACTGCAGAAAGCAAAAGATGATCATGATTTTAATTTATGATATGAAAAGCGATTAATTTTTCACCGTGCCATTGGGTGGTTTTATATGAGAGTTTGTCGATTTTATGCGACGACGTGTTTATTTTAAAATATATAATTGATTTATAGATCTCTTGCAAATACTAAGCATTGTCGGCATGGAACGACCTGTATCATTAAGCTCTGAAGACATTCGTGACGAAAAGGTGGATAATTACAATATATATATATATTTATTTATTTATTTATTTATTTATTAATCTTTGAGCTAATAAGTTAATTACTTTTCGTTTGACTTGAAAATAGGTCCGCGTGTTACGTTGTATTCCTCCTGTGAAACTTGAAGACACACTTCTTGGCCAATACACAAAATCAGAAGATGGCGAAAAACCTGGGTACCTGGAGGATAGCACGGTCCCCGACGGTAGTACATGTCCTACTTTTGCAGCATGTACGCTATGGATAAATAATGAACGTTGGGAAGGTGTCCCTTTTATCTTAAAATGTGGAAAAGGTAAGTGTCATGCTAATTTTTTTAAATAATTTAATTACCATTAGAATGCAATAACTAATTCATATATCTAATTTTTAGCTTTAAATGAACAAAAAGCGGAAATTCGTGTTCAATTCCAAGATTTACCCGGAAACGTTTTCAAAGATTCACCTCGTAATGAATTAGTTATTCGCGTGCAACCCAACGAAGCTGTTTATATGAAAATGACAAGTAAATTACCGGGTCTTTCCATGGACACAGTAATCTCTGAATTGGATCTCACATACAACCGAAGATTTTCGGACTTTAAGATTCCTGACGCGTATGAAGCACTGATTCTTGATGTGTTAAAAGGCGACCATTCTAATTTTGTGAGGGATGATGAATTGGATGCCGCTTGGAAGATTTTCACCCCGATTTTACACAAAATTGATCATGATAAAATTGTTCCTCAACCATATGCATATGGTTCACGTGGTCCAGCGAGCATTGAAGAGTTTACGTCTAAATATGGGTTCAAGAGATCTACTCAAGAATATAACTGGCCAGAACGTTAGTAATTTTGTATACTTTCTTATTATTAAAGTTTGATCTTGATTATGTTTTCATAATTTAACTATTACACGTTGTCTGTAATAAATTCGTTCGAATCTCATTTACAGATAAGGTCAACAAGCTTTAATACTTAAGGAATCCACCTCCTTCGCTCATTGATATCTCTATCTTTCATTGATCGATTGTTATATTGCATTTTATCTTGTCGTTTTCTTTTTTCTCTGTAAATTTTCTTTTATATTTATTTATATATAAATAAAAAGCATAATGCGATTCGTCACATTAAAATCGCGTCGAATACTGTAATTTATAAATTTATTAAGTGACTCTGTGATTTGTCACTTCAAGCAAAAAGTTAAAACTTGATTTAACTTTCTATAAACTTTTTTTCGCGAGTTATATAAATTAATTTTTAATTCTCAATTCATTCCATATTCGTGATTCTCTTTTGATAATAAAGACAATGACTCATCCTTTAAAATTTGCGTTCTATGAACTCAATAGTGCAAATTCCAAGTTATTCCCGGAAAGTGAAAGAAAAAAACGTGGTAGACCTCGAAATACCTCGAAAGAGTAAGAAAATACGATTAGTATTTAATTTTATTCACTTTGTTTGGTTTTACCTTTTAAAGAAAAACTGATCCTATGCAGATTGCAAAAAATACTTCAAAAGATTCACAAAATACTAAAGGATGAGGTAAAGATTTGAAAGTATCATTAAATTAATGGATAATGAGTGACCAAATTATTCTTTACCCAGCACTCGAGGCCTCATTACTTTTATAATACGAATCCGGACGTTTTTCAGCAAGCAATTATCTCACTCGAAAATGTTTTTAATAAATACAAAGATGTAAATGTCATTACAAAAGCAACAGATTGTTTAAATTTTATTGTAATGATTATCTTAAAGTTGGATTTAAGCGGAAAAGACAATGATTGGGAAAAAATTGTAGTTGATTCGTTATCATTAATCGAGGTGATTGTTTTGATCCTTTAGTAACTACAATAATAAATTAATATAATTGATTAAATGAATGAATTTATTATTATTAGATTTTTGTTCAGCAAGATGACATAGGTAATGGGTCGGTCAAATTTATTATCCATTGAATAATTAATTAATTATTGTTTTTTTTTTTTTTTTAAAAAAAAAAAAAGACCAAGTAATGATGGGAAAACTCTGCCTAAAACTTCTCTCAGAAATATTATTAAATTCTTCATTACCAGTTGACTTACGAAGAACGGTAAGGGACATCTGAAAATAATTACAATCGAAATCATGTGATAATATATTTTGAATTTTCTAGAGTGCAGATGTTATAAATTCTCTATTAACTGGATGCAAAGAGAATAAAAAATTGTTAAGCCAAGAAAAATTTTTTGATGTGTATCCTTTGCTATATAAAAAAAAAAACCACGAGATATTTTGATTTAGAAATAGTTATTGAATCTTAACCTTATTAGTTCGAAACTTGCCTCTTCAATGATATCTGCATCCGGTATTATTATGCGTTGTCTCATACTCTGAAATGAATTGATAAGTAATTTTATCTTATTTTTTTTTTTTTTTTCTGACATAAGATTATGAGCTTCAACTTCGCCATCTCGAGATACTATTTAGGCTTTGCCCTAGGATGCAAGATGATCGTGAAACCTTTGCAAGCAGAGCATTTGTAATCCACGAGGATATGATTCAAAAATTCTTGGCAATAGCTGCCAATGATTTTCTCAGGGTAAAAACTAAAAATTTGAGTCAAATTAAGATGTTAAAGCTAACAAAAATTTAACGAATCCTTTGCCTCTTGCTTATTATAAAAATTAAGGATAGTCGAAACTTCTTGAATTCGCTCAATGATTCAAATGATGGCATATTTAAAACGTGTGTCTAACAAAAATAGTGGTATAATTTACAAATGAAATATGTTCTAAACTTTTTTTTTATAGGCCAAAAACGATTGTGGTATCACAAATAAAATACAATAAATTTGAATTATATTGCCCAGAAGGACAAGATCGTTTCTTCGTCGATTTCAACAAATGGACAATATCTACTACAATAAGATCGATGGAGGTTATTTAAATAAATTCTCTCGTGTTGTCCATTTTCTTTTTTTATATACTAGACATACAAATCAAAATTATTATAGGTTAATGATTCTGTCGAGAATGATGTGTTAGAAATCAAATATTCTGAAATGTCAACATGGGATCTTCAAACAGGCAAGTTTTAAAAACGCGTCTTTTCACAATATTTAACAGGGCATTCACGAATTTGTAATTATGAATATTGCAGATCAAATCCTTATATTCTATCTTACCGAGCCTTTAAATCTTAATTATCAAGGCGCATTTAATATACAAAAAAATAGCTCCATATCTAATAGAGAGAATACAATTTTCATAAAATTCGACAATGACGTTCGGAACACTCTAGAAATGATATTAACCGATCGCCGCGTAGTAAGTTTATTTTATTCTCGTGTTTTTTTTAGATTCAAGATTACTTATTGTGCTACAAATAGAAAAAAAAGATGCAGTCTGTAGGAAGTTTACAACCAAAATCCTCTTCAAATAATACCGCAGCTGCACATGCTGCCCTTTCAAAATCATCAGAACTTGAAAAAATCGATAAATCAGTGAACACGAATTCTCAAAGTTATATTGCTGCATACAATACTGAACTTTCTCCAGAAAAAAACAAAAGTCAACATTTTGAAAGCAGAATTATTACTTCATCTACTGCGCTCTCTCTATCAAATTCGTCGAATTCCAATGGTTCTCTAAGCAATTCACCTACTATGAATCATCAATCATTGATGCAAATACTTGAAATTGATAACGTCAAACGTCTGAACGGTTTTCAACCACCGAAAAAACGATCAAAGCCATTACATTTATCTGTTTCAAAAAAACAAAGAACATACAAGGGATATAGTGTAAACGAAGAAATAGGAGAAGATACAATATCCAATAGTGTGGCTGAGGAAGGTAAGATAATTTGAAGTATGAAAAATATTGTAGCATACAAAATGGCATAGTAAAAGGATTAAAATACATTTTTAAAATAAACGGTACCTATTTAAAATAGAGCATCAAATTTCACAAGCAAAGCTTTCAAAAAGAAACACATTACATTTCTTTCGGAATCTTGATGCTACCAATGAAGAACAAGAAGTTTCTGATGATATTATAATAATTGAACAAAACAACAATACAACCAAGAATATAAATGCTAAAACTTATATATATAACGCAAATCAAAAGAACGTAGTTGGACAGACGACTCGTTTACACAAAGGCTCAAATTTAACAACTAATGAAAATATTAGAGACATTGAATATAGAAAAAGGAAAATAAATGTACAAGATTCAAGCGAGGATGAACTAGAAAATCCCAAATTCAGTAACATAATGAAAAAGAACAAACTTCATAAAAGGCAGTTAAAGGTAATACTCAAAATTCAATTTTATGATTTCAATATTTTTTAACGATAACTTTTGTTTTGAAAGATCAATAAAGACGAAATTCCAATTAAAAGTGAAGAAGAATTTTGGAATCCAACTTCGGCTGAATATAACGCTGAAGACGAGGTTATTGAACGGATGAGAGCTCAATTTCGTAAGCATATTTAAAAAATATTCATTTATATTGATATTATCTACAGATTCGCTCAAAAAATTACAGCGATAGAAATTTTTCGGGAATTAGCAGAAAAGAACCTGTCGATTCCAAAATCTAATAATGAAAAAAAACGAGGTTTAGTATTTATTTAAATTAATTTCTTGTCTTATTCAGTGTGAATTACAATATTAAGTATATCATTATCAATAATGATAATAGTTTCATTCGTTGAAAGATTTAAAGAATATTCAAAAGCTTTAGATAGTGATGACGAAGATATTAAAAAACGTTCAGGTTAGTTTAATTCGAAGCTTTTTATTAATTTATATTTTCTTTATCTTATTTAGCGTTTATAAAAAACGGCTATCCGGTTGGCAAAATTCCTTGTGGTTGATACTTAAATTAAAAAATCGTCATTATAATAGATCGGTATATTCTGCATACAAGAAACATTTCACCAATTAGTAGCAATAACGAAATAACTATACAACCCTCTCTAGAAGACGTTGATATCATTGACGATAGCGACGTTACTCCAATCGATACAGAATGTAAAATTGACAAGTCAGGCAAATACGCGAAAGAAAAATTAGATGAGGAAATTAAAAGATTATTGCAATGCATTGGCGAGGTAAAAATAAACAATATTGATATATATATTTATTTATTTATAAGTTTATTAATCCCATTAAACATTTAAATTAGACAATTTTTAGACATCTTCGTAGACAGGACGTAGCTTTATTTCAGGTTACACGAAAAATAATTGTTCAAAATGAGACTAGCTTGACTCAAGGATTAGAAACGCAGTTTAGAAACAAGTATGATTTTGAAATTATCTTTTATAAAAGAGATAAATTTGGCATTTTACCAACAATAATTGTATCATATTTAGACGCGAATTGCTTAATAAATTTAAAAGAAATTATGCTACAATCTCAACAGCATATCAACAAATGATTAAAGAATTAAAGGAAGGAAGAAAAGGATTTCCTTCTTTGGAACAAGTTGAAAATTGATTGTGGCCATTGACATCGAAAGATAAATTTGCCAAATTGAATATATAAGAATCACACTTTAAATATCGCAATCAACTAATGAATTGTAAATATTATAATTGAAATTACCTCAAACTCGATGCGTTTCGATTGTTAAAAGCAAAAAAATTACCTTTTTATAAATTTTTTTTTAAAAAAAAAATTTCTGTAAATAGTTTTTTATTTTCTTAATGCAAAAATCACAGTGATTCAAATAGTTTGATTTTTAAAGGAATAATAATTTAAAAAAATTTTTTGTATCAAGTTCATTTGATTTTTTTTTACTTTAAATAATGCCAAAAGTTGTGAGCTTTCTAGTATTAAAAATGTATCGGATTTTATAAAGGAAGTAGAACTTTAGATAAATGATGTTAATCAATGAAATAAATGTTAACATAAGAATCGGTTTTTTAAATTTACACGTTATATTCATAAGTTGTGATCGTTTCTGACTGCACCACACCATACTGTATTAAATGTGATAACTTGAATGTTACTAAACTGGCAAAAGGTGAGCACTCATGTTGCAGTGGTTGTGTAAAAATACCACCGTTTTTTAAAAGACGTCTAAAAAGTAGAATCGTGTAAAAATGTAGAAATTCTTAATTTCTGAATTTCTTCTTAATTGTGCTATATAATACGTGGAATTTATTGGTCAATTATTTTAAAAAAAATTTTCCGAATTATTTATTTTTAACAAATTTTGATATCATTATTATTAAACATATTTATAAATTTTTTAGAAATTAAAAGAATTTTATGTAATTTTGAGAAATAAAGATAAAAAAAGAAAGTTAAAATAATCATGATTGTGATGAGAATATACACATTAGTTATTACATTAATACTTTTAAAAATTATATTAAATGTTTTGTCTAAATATAATATAACATAAGATGCATCTTAGATTAGCATCTTAGATTTTACAGTCAGTAAGAATTATATTTTACAAAGTTTTATATATAAAAGAATCTATTGCTATATCATCTAAAGTAATTATTATTATTTTTTAAAGTAGGGCTAGTAAAGTTAGTAATTGAATCACCAGATATTTCTTGCATGATTTTTTTTTTTTATAAATACTTTTATATTAACTAGTATAAAAAATTTATATTACAAGATTTTTTTATGTAATTACAGATTCAAAGAAAATATAGAAGGAATTCTAGAAAAATCAGATTCTATGAAAATTTTAACTATATTAAGAGCTAAATGCATTTTAATCTAATAATATCAAAACTAAAATAAAAAATTCTTAGGATTTGATTTTCCTAATAATTAACCTATATATTAAATTACTAATAAAATATTAAAGATTTAATAAGAAAATTTATTAATAAATCTTTTAATATTTTTTTTTTTTCAATAAAAAAACACATGTGAATCTACTGAAATTGTTATATTTTATTATATTTGTTTAACTAATTTGATAGCTAAAAATATGATTAAAAATTTGACAAATTAATAAAAAAATATATTGAGTATATCCTTTTTTTGTAAAATTAAAAAATCAATAGTAAAGTATTATATTTTGATTAAAAAATAATGGGAATTATAAACCACACCGCGGTGTTCAACACCATATCATGTAATCACATAATTATTGTTATTTATTGTCCAATCGGAAGACGTGATATGTGCTGGTGCAGTACATGACGTGTTATGTAAATAAACTTTATTAATATCAGATAATCAGTTTTGATACAAAACTTTAAATTTTAAATGTATATTTGTGTATCACTTTCATATGCTTAAAGTTTTTTTTTTCTCACTTTCTTTATTCTTTATACTTTCTTTTCCTCTGTTCCTTATAACTTTTTTTTTGATAGTAGTCAAACTTGTTGGTTTTCAAATTTAAACTGATTTTTTTGACTTTATGAAATAATAATTTTCTCAGCATTATTTCATTTAAAATTTCATAATAACGAGAATTTTAATTATAACGATATCTCTTATTTAGCATAAAGCAGAGTTAAGCAATTAGAAATTACAGTAATTAAACATATTTTTCACTCTCTTTATATTGAATGTTTCAATTAATACTCTGAACGGTTCGGTTCAGTTCAGATTATAAATCTTAAAAATGCCAATCCGAAACCGAACCGAACTATAAACTGATAAAAATCTGAACTGAACCGAAAATTTCGGATTAATTCGAAATTTTGGATCGTTTGAAACGATCCTTTTATCGTTCATTTGGAACGATAACTTCAATCGTTCTAATTGAACGATTTTCTTATCGTTCGTTTAGAACGATAACTTCAATCGTTCCAAATGAACAATTTTCTTATCGTTCGTTTAGAACGATAACTTCAATCGTTCCAAAT